TGGGATGCTATGAAATATGGTTATGGAAGCATGGTATCGCCCCCAGGTGGATCAGTCTAATCATTTCAAATGTTCCTCGATGCGACGTGAGCCCTAGCGGCAGTGTTACATAAAAGGTCAAGTTATTAGTGGTAAATTGTATATCAACATCGAGGTGAATCAACAATGGATAGATAATAGTTACAAAGTATGAGATAAGATTTGGCCGTCATTCTTAAGATGAACAGTAATGAGAAAGCATTAAAGAACTTAGATTTATACATATGGGATAAGCAACGAGAGTAACCTGGAATTTGGTAGCAGACTTCAGTAATGATAAATCGAAGAAAGAGTTATGGTATAGTATGACCTACCTAGATGCAGTAAAGTCATACAAATGGATAACCAGGTCTATGAAATAAGGTATAGCAATATTCGTAAGTTCAACAAAATACCGAGCGAAGAACTTCAGTACCTATAGATGCCTAGAGGGACATCTTGTCAAGCTTTGTATAATGTTTACAAAGTGAGGCCTAGAGATTGGCTAAAAGCTGGAGGAAAAAGGAGAGAAGAGTCGCATAGGCGCACTTACAAGGTCAGAGTAGTACAAGCTGCATGATAGAAGGTAGCAACAGTTACGAGATTGGAAGGATTCCGACCACAAGTCGTGGTGTGAGAAAGAGGCCTAAAGGGGGGAATTCCCTGGCCCTTGGATTTATTCATAGAACAGTTGCCTAGATGGCAAGAAGAGTACTAAAGTATTCGCAAGAACTATAGGTTATGATAATGATAAGTGCATCAGTCAACATTTGAGGACGAATGTTCCAAAGGGGGGAATGATGTTACATCCCGCATTTTCGGACGTTAAAGTTTCGTCGTAAGTTAATCGACGTAAGCACGTGAATGAGATTATTTTGAGATTATAATCATTTTGCTATTTCAAACAAGTGATGAGTAAATTCGTGAAAGTGAGAGGGTAAGCAAATCGAAGAAAATAAATTTCGTCGAAGTTAGACATCTTGGGATAAAATACGGTCCAAGCTATAATACCCCGGTATTTATGGACTTGTGCCATACAAGGTACCACATGACCATGATAGTAAGGTGTATAAACTATGTTAAAAGTGAGTAGTATTTTAGGTAAGTTGAGATAATTCTTGATTATGTGGGTAATTGATAAATTATTAGATTAGTGGGGGAATTAACAAGTTAATTAAGGAAATGAGTGGATAATTTTGGATAAGCCTCCCCCCCCCCAACGTGGCAGAAAACCTACCCCAAATAAATGACTCTTAATGTTATATGGTAAGGTGGCAAAATTAGAGAGTTAGGTAGCTAAGTCATCCTAAGTGGGTCCCACACCCACCAAACTTTAAAAGCCTCTCTAAATCACTTAAAGAGGTGTTGATATCTCTACAATATGAGGAAGGGAGTCTTCATCAAGTTCATACAAGAACATGTATGATAGTAACGTGAGTTACTTCAATAAAAATTCATACGAAACTTCTTAGCATAATAGCAATGGGATTTTGCGATTCTAAAGGAGTACGGTGTAATCTTTCTCAAGAATATCATACGGATTCTCCCCTACTTCGATCCGCCGTTACGTGTTTTGTCGCAAAAGATATGTGTTGGAGGGATTGTCAAGAGAATCAATTCAGGTATGTTAAGGCTATCCCTTCTTTCTTTTTGGCATGATCCATACGATACAAACGAAACGAGTAAACGCATAATTTTCATAAATTACTTTATTCATAGAAGTACTAGGGGTGTCTATATTCTTGATTCTCCATGTAAATTATTATTATATCTTCTGTTCAAGGGTCTCAGAAAAATACGTATTTGATTAAGTTTATCCAAAAGGCATATTGATCTTATGACATACCGAGAAATCTTATTAACGTATTTCTTATGTATTTCATGCATTTATGTGTACATTGACCAATGACCAGATGGCGTTATATACGCGTATATTATATGTATATGGGATATGAAAAAAGGTTATGGCATTATATATGCACAACCACCTGATCAGCTGGTATACGTTGATGATTTGCCCACAGTGGTCGAGATTATATGATGGGATGCCCTCAGAGGCTTGATTATGTTATGAACGCATATACCTATGCAGGGTATGACATTTAAATATTAAATGATTCATAAAGCTATTTAGACTTACATGTCGAGTCTTTTACTTTATGTTCTCTCATGTCTATTATTTACTGATTTTCATTCCTTACATGCTCGATACATTATTTGTACTAACGTCCCTTTTTGCCTGGGGATGCTGCGTTTCATGCCCGCAGGTTCCGATAGACAGGTCGAGAGTCCTCCAAGTAGGCTATCAGCTCAGCGGGAGATGTTGGTGCACTTCATTTGCTCCGGAGTTGCCTATTTGATTAGTATGCATTGGACACGTATTGATTGGTATGTCGGGGCTCTGTCTCGGCATTATGATGTTTATGTACTCTTAGAGGCTTGTAGACATATGACATGTATATGAATGATTGTATGGCCTTGTCGGCCTATGTTTTGAGTGTACAAATGATCATGTCGGCCTTATAGGCCCGTATGTCACGTGCATAAATTTCTCTATCATATTGGGTCGTCATACGAATATACGTTATGTTGGTACTCGGTTGAGTAAGGCACCGGGTGCCCGTCGCGGCACATTGGTTTGGGTCGTGACAGAAACCCCCCACGAAGTGACGATAATAGCCGGACAAGCCGAGAAAGCTTTGAATCTCCGTAGTTGAAGACGGTCCCCGCCAACTCTAAACTGCCTCAATCTTCTTCGGATCCACCTGAATCCCCTCACTGGACACCATGTGCCCCAAGAATGCCACTTAACTAAGCCAAAACTCACATTTGGAGAACTTGACATAAAACTTCTCCTCACTCAACCATTGCATCACAATCCTCAAATGATGGGCATGCTTCTCCTGGCTACGAGAGTACACCAGGATATCATCAATGAATACTATGACAAACTAGTCGAGATAAGGCTGAAATACAATGTTCATCATATGTATGAATGCTGCTGGGGCATTGGTCAACCCAAAAGACATCACAAGGAACTCATAATGACCATAACAGGTCCTGAATATCCGAGTCCCGAATCTTCAACTGGTGATACCCAAACCTCAAATCAATCTTAGAGAACACCCTCGCTCCCTAAAGCTGGTCAAATAGATCATCAATGCGCGGCAAAGGATACTTGTTCTTGATTGTAACTTTGTTCAACTGCCTATAGTCGAAGCACATGCGTATAGTACCATCCTTCTTCTTCACAAACAGAACCGGCGCCCCCCAAGGCGACACACTGGCCTAATAAACCCCTTATCAAGGAGTTCTTGAAGCTGTTCTTTTAGTTCCTTCAACTCAGCTGGGGCCATGCGGTACGAAGGTATAGAAATGGGCTGAGTACCCGACACCAAGTCAATACCAAAGTCAATATCCCTGTCGGGTGGCATGCCCAACAAGTCTGCAGGAAACTAATCCGTAAAGTCTCGCACCACCGGAACAGAATCAATAGTAGGGGTATCAGCACCAACATCCCTCACAAAGGCCAAATAAGATAAACATCCCTTCCCAACCATCCGTTGAGCCTTTAAATATGAAATCACCCTACCGGAAACATAATCTAGAGAACCTCTCACTCGATCCTCGGCAAACCTAACATCGCCAAAGTCACGATCTTAGCGTGACAATATAGCATAGCATGACATGGAGACAACCAATCCATACCCAGGATCACGTCGAAATCAACCATACTAAGCAATAAGAGATCAACTCTAGTCTCCAATCCACCAATAGTCACTACACATGACCGATATACACGGTACACAACAATAGTATCGCCCACTGGCGTAGATACATGAATAGATGAGACTAAGGACTCACAGGGCATATCTAGATAACGAGCAAAATACGATGATACATACGAATAAGTGGAACTAGGATCAAATAATACAGAAGCATTATTGTGGCATACTGAGACAATACCTGTGATCACTGCATCTAAAGCAACATCATCTGGCCTGGAAGGAATAGCATAGAATCGGGCCTGACTGCCACCTGATCGGCCTCCCCCTCTTGGGCGACCCCTAGCTGCCTGAGCCCTACCCCGAGCTGGCTGGGCGGGTGGTGAAGTAACTAGTGCTGAGGTCGTGGCCTGACTGCTCTATTGAACTGGACCTCCCATAAGGCGGGGACAGAACCACTTCACATGACCTAACTCTCCACACTCGAAACATCCCCTCTCGAAAAATGGCGGCAAGTACTGAGGCGGACCCCGAGAACCAAAATAACTATCAGAAGAACCTGGTACAGAAGAACCATGCACTGATGGTGCACGGGATGGACTCTGAGCTGGAAGAGCACTGAGAGATGACTGGCCCGGACGGGCACTGTATGAACCATGGCTAGATGATGCAACACGGTGAACTGGACGAGCCATCTGAGCGGGCCTATAAGGACGACCCCTGCTGTGGTAAGACTGTCCCCCAGAATGAACACCACTGGGACCGCTCGAAACTCGACGCCTCCCTCTCCTCATGCTCCTGACTATGGACCATCTCTATCTGCCGAGCAATATCAACCACCTCGTCAAAAGTAGCACCAGATAGCCTCTCCCGAGTCATAAGCAACCGCAACTGATATGTAAGGCCATCAATGAACCTCCTAATCCTCTACCTATCCGTGGGAACCAACCAAATTGCGTGACAGGCTAACCCGGAAAACTTCATCTCGTACTGAGTCACAGACATGTCATCCTGACGTAGCTGCTCAAACTATCTGTGCAGCTCCTCTCTACGAGACTATGGCATGAACTTCTCCAAGAAGAGAACGGAGAACTCACGCCATGTAAGTGGTGCTGCACCGACTGGCCTGCGCCTCTCATAATCTTCCCACCATCTGAAGGCAGCCCCAGTAAACTGAAAAGTAGTGAATGAGACCCCACTGGTCTCCAGAATACCTGTCGTGCGAAGAATCCGCTGACACCTATCCAAAAAGTCCTGGGCATCCTCAGACTCAGCCCCACTGAATGATGGAAGCTGGAGTCTCCCAAATCTCTCTAGTCTCCTCTGCTCATTATCAATCATAACAGGACCTGCCTAGGCATGAGCGGCTGGGCTAGTGGTACCCCCGATGTCTGGAGTTTCTACATCACCGGTTCTGGTATACGGGCGATGGGAGTCTGAGTACCTCCCCCGACCTGAGAAGTGGCTGCCGCAGCCGGAACAGAAACCGCCTGAGCAAGGTTAGTGCACACAGTCAAAATTTGAGCCAAAGCCTCTTGAAGGCTTGGAATCACAATAGGCACAACTGGTGCCTGAGCTGGCCCTACTGGCTCAACCATAGCTGGTACCTGCTCCTGAGCTAGATCAACTGGTGGATCTGCATGTGCCGCTCTAGCTGCTGTACGAGCTGCACCCATGCCTCTACCGCGGCCCCTATCGCAACATCGACCTCTTGTGTCCCTAGTTGGTGGTACTGGTGGCTGTCCATCCTGACCGGTAGTACGTATCCTCACCATCTGTGAGAGAATAGAACAACAGAAATTTAGTGACCGGAATCAACAAATCCGCAAGACAAGAATATAAGAATGTGAAGTTTCCAAAGGGTTCGACAGCCTCTCGAAGATAAGTACATACGTCTCTGTACCGATCTGCATGACTCTACTAAACCTGCTCATGACTCATGAGACCTATGTAACCTAGGGTCTGATACCAATTTGTCACGGCTCAAAATAAATCCGTCGTGATGGCGCCTATCATAGTACTAGGCAAGCCAACTACTCAGACATTTTCAATATTTTAAAACTTTGAAAGATATGAAAACAGCTTAATTAAAGGAAAATCTTTTAAAAACAGGATAGGAAGTCATAACTCAATACATAATCTCTCTCAAGAATCGGGGTGTCGCCGAGTACATGAGCATCTACATAAAGATAGTCTAGTACACCGTCCAGAAAATAAAACTGAAATTAATAACATGAAAGATAAGGGAGGAGAGTCAAGGTCTGCGAACGCCCAATAGCTACCTCGATGATCTCCAAATGATCGGACTCCACAATCAACGATCACCGTGCCCGAAAATGCCTGAATCTGCACACGAGGTGCATGGTGTAATGTGAGTACAACCAACTCAGTAAGTAACAATACTAACTATTGGACTGAAAGTAATGACAAGCTCAGCAGGTACAATTCGATATAGAATTACAGTACAGAAATGTAGACATGCTTTCAAGTTCAACAGATAACTTAATACAAGAAAAATAGATCAACTCAGAATAATTTGAGGAATGTGACATCTACATGCCAATGTACATGCTATATGGGATGCACTACAATGGAAGTCTCGTGAACTCATACTATCTGAATACTCAATCTCTCAGTACTGTTCAACAGTTGTCCCTCTTTAACCAAAAATGATGAAAGCATTTTCGAGAAAAGAAATTGATGTAGTTGCCAATTTTGTCCCGGCCAACAAGTACGCCCTTAAAAGGATAAGGATGATATGGACGTTGGAAAAATTATGGGATGGAATCATTTCGATCGAATGTCCTATTTGAAGGTGGACTTTCCTATTATCCTATTAAAGGCAGATGAGCCTAAATGCCATATTAAAGGCGAATGAGCCTAAATATCCTATTAAAGGCGGACGAGCCTAGATATCCTATAGAAGGCGGCCATGGCCTAAGGGAGGATCGAAATGATTCAAAATGAAAGGTATTTTGAAAGGCTGCGGCCGCACTCCGATTTTCGAGTTGCCTACATATCGAGGGCTTTATGAGAATTAGGCCATATGTAGGTCAAACGATTAACGACTAAGAGATGGACACAATTGAATTTGATTTACCTATATAACCACGATTTTGCAAAATATAATTTGGGAGTAGATCTTTGACCTCTTGATGATGAGCTTAACTCCACCTTCGACAATTTTCCCAGTTCATTGCTTAGATATGATCCACGATTTGATGTGTGGTGCGAACTTCTGATCCTGTCATCTTATGAAACAAAATATACTAGAAAATTCATTAGCGACTTTGAATATATAAATATGATGGAATGGAGGAAGTTGATATTAAATCCACATTCACAAAATTACATACACCATATATGTTATGTACAAGGTGAAAGGAAGTCCACAATGAAGGAAGTAAATAAGGTGAGAAAAAACAAAACACAATTGAAGTCTACTGTGCATAAAAGTAAATCCACAAATAAAGTCTACAATACATAAAGTAAATCCACAATTAAAGTCCACGGTGCAAAACATAAATTCACAATTGAATTCCACAATGCATAAAGTAAATTCACAATTGAAGTCCACAATGCATAAAGTAAATCCACAATTGAAGTCCACGGTGCATAAAATAAATCCACAATTGAAGTCCACGAAAAATTAAAGTCCACGAGAGATTGAAAATGATAATTGATTATTGACGATTGAAAATTGAAATTATCGATTGAAATTTGATAATTGAAAATTAATGAATGGAGATTGATAATTAAAGCCCATAAGTTTGTATTTTAAAATCGAAAAATTAAGATAGATAATTGAAAATTGAAGACTCGTATTTGAAGTTCCCTAATATGTAATATAGCATATATTTATTTTAGTAGAACCCACTAGGCATTGTGCCTAGGGTTTTTGTATATACAAATGAAGCAAATTCAAAGGAGGGGGGCATGAACCTAACCTCAAACCTATGGTGGAATACCACTTGATTATCTAAACAAAACAATCAAGAGGATCCAAAAGCTTATGTGAAGTTAGACCTATAGTGAATTTCCAGTTATCTATCCATATTTGATAGACATTTGGATGACAAAAGACAATGTGAAGTTATCCTAGGTCAACTATACAATATAAACCTATGTCAACTATGCAAAAGAGTTGGAGGGAGACCTTCCAAAAACTAACAGGTAGGTACATCCATCCTATGAAAAGGACTGTCTTCAACATAGCTATACACTGACCAAGTCGAAGATAGCTAACAAAAGGAGGTATGGTGTTGAAGTAACATGCTACCTCTATTTGTTGGAGCTAATAGAAGAACTTGGGCATGAGGTATTTCCTGTGTGTGACCAATGCATTAATGTATTTTGCACTGGATGGTGAATGATTGTTGTCTTCATCCAGGACAGAAGAGGTGAATCAAGTTGAGCTGATGGCATCTGGAAGTTGGTTCTGCACTCCATATCAAACATTTGTGCTTGTATGTGTGTATATCTCTGCACCTGGAGGGTGATATTAAACTTGTCAAACTGAACATTTAGGCCTGAGCCCCAAAATTTGTCCAGGTTATTCATTGTTTGGGCACATGTGTGTGAGCTATATGGTTCCATAAACTATATATGGTGATTACCTGTAGAGAAAACTAGGGCAGCTAGGTTTGTTCCCCTAGTTGTGTCTAGTTGGTTGCTCAGTTGGCAGTAGTCACTGTATGTGATTGCTTGGAACCTGCTTGTTGTTGCACCATATTGGGCAACTAGCTTTGAGCCCCCAGACATGACATGCATGTCTGGATGTCTTATGTGATCCAATATGGCATGATGAAGTTGGCATTCCCAGGATGATTGATGAATTTTCAACAGACTGAGCACTTGAAGTGCTAATACCACACATTGAGGATTCACCAATGATCTAGGCCTACTTTTTGTACTTTCAAAATTTAACAAACAAGTTAGAAGAAAGTGTTCCCTTTTATCCATCTCCCAGAAAAGAAAGATAAGGTGTTCTGCTCCCAAATATTTATTTCTACAAACTATGATCTGCAACATTGTGTTTTCCTCCTTTGCATTTAAGCAGTTAGCCAAATTCTGACATGCTTGTGACCTTTGGTAGACTCTCAGCAGGATGAGCATTGGGATTGCTGATACCACACACTGAAAGTAAATCAAATAGTTAAGCATGCCACAAGAACAATTACCCGCAAAAAGGAAAAAAGAGTTAAAGATGTGTATCTTTATGTCCTCTGTCCTTGGATTGTGGGTATGCAACTCTACTCCCAGGTTCTTGTGGATTCTGAGAGTTGGTGTGAGATGTGAGTTGTTGGCTAGGGAAATTGATTAAGTCTCCGGAGTGTAAGGATAGATCTTAATGTATTTGTAGTAGTGTTGAAGTGGAGTAAGGTTGTTGTAAAGGGTTGCTGAGGGTGTAATGGTATTAAGGTGTTGTGCTGGTGATTGTGGGTATGGTATATTTAGTTGCCTGCATTGAAGGTTAGCTGCAGAGAACACCACTCTTTATAGTATTAAAAGACCTCCAACAGACTGAGCACCCAAGGTGCTAATACAACACCTTGGAGGTCTATCAATGTTATGAGTGTGTCCAATGTGGTGCACATAAGAACAAACAGGTTAGTAAAAACCATACTGTTGTTGCATTTAAACTGCTCTTATGGTGGTGTTAGCATCTGAACCACAGTTCCTACTCATGCTGCTGTGATGATATTTCATGATGTATAATTGGACAAATTTGTATTCTCCCCTCAATTTATTTGTATCAACCATAACCATGAGAAGTGGTGGAAGCCAATTGTGGTGGTGTAATGATTCTTTGAGTCTTTCTGTATCTGAAAGCTTGGGTGTCCAAAATATCTTTCTGGATTTGGCCCCCTTATATGAGGAGGTAGATTAAAAGTGTTGGGGAAGTGTGTTAGTGCAATGAGATCATAACTGAGTTTAGATATTAAATCAGCAGGGGAATTGGCCTCTCTGTACACATGAGAGTATGTGATCTTCTCACACTGAAGACAAAGTGCTCTCAGCTTCTGCAAATTCATCTTGATGATCCAAGGGGGATCATTATTGCTTGTCAACCAGTTTGATCAATAGCTCAGAATCTGCCTGTAGATGTACTCTATTGTACCCATTAGCAATGCACCACTGGATATAGAAGCGGCTTTCGTTTTTGCCAAATTGATGGTACCCTCACCCAATGGGGATGCAATTGACTGAATAAATTCTCCCAAATGATTTCTAATTATAACACCACCACCTATCCTCCCAGAGCTGATCAAATATAACGACCCGACCGGTCGTTTTGAGAATTAGCGTCCTGTTCAGTGGCTTAAGGTCTCGAATAGCTTCGTATTGTGTATTATGACTTGTATGTGTATCCGGGTTAGGTTTTTGGATGATTCGGGATTTGACTTGGAAGAATGATTTTTTTAGAAGCTTAAGCGGCAAGAGTTGACCGGAGTTTGACTTTTGCGTGGACAACTCTGAAATAGTATTTTGATGATTCGAATAGCTTTGTATGGTAATTTTGGACTTAAGCGTACGTCTGAATTTAGATTTGGAGGTCCGTAGGTGGATTTGATGCATTTTGGCGAAAGTTCAAAAATTGAAGGTTTAGAAGGTTGAGAGGTTTGACCGGGAGTTGACTTTGTTGATATCGAGTTCGGATTATGATTCCGAAAGTTGGCATAGCTCCGTTGTGTCATTTGGGACTTGCATGCAAAATTTGACGTCATTCCGTGTTGAATTGATATGATTCGGCGCAAGTTGCGGAAGTTGAAAGTTCATAAGTTCGATTTGAAGTGCGATTTGTAGTTTTGATGTTGTTTGATGTGATTTGAGGCCTCGAGCACCACATTATGTTATGGAACTTGTTGGTATGTTCGGACGGTGTCCCGGGGGCCTCAGGTGTATTTCGGATGGGCTATGTGCCATTTCCTCCCATTTTAGAATGTTAGTTATGTTATCTGGTTTTCTTTATCACGTTCGCGTCTATGGTACCGCGTTTGCATAGTGTAATTTGGAGGCAGGCAGTATTTGTTCTTCGCGTTCGCGAATAGATGAACGCCTTCGTGAAGCTTGGAAGACTTTTTGTCTTCGTGTCACATGCAGTGCTCCGCGATCGTGCAAAAGTAAGGCAAGAAGGGCATTAAACAATTTTCTTTTCGCGTTCGCAAGAACACAAACCCGTTCGCGTAGAGTCTGAAGATCTTGGTCACCGCTTTCGCGACCTTAGTGTCGCGTTCGCGTAGCACGATTTGGCAGCTGAAGGTTTTGTTCTTCGCAATCGCGATGTATAATTCACTGGGCAGAATATAAAGTACTCTATTTCGAGGGCTTTTGATATTTTATCACTTTTTGGGTTAGAGAGCTCGATTTAGGGCAATTTTGGAGGGGATTTTCATACTTTGAATTGGGGTAAGTTTTCTTCACCCGAATTTGATTATATTTCATGATTCCATCTTTGTTTTTATCATTAAATTAGTGATTTGAGTTGGAGAAAATTGGGGATTTTTTTGTAAAAACTTTCTAAAATGTAAAATGAGAATTTAAAGGCCGATTTGATGTTGGAATTGGATAATTTTGGTGTGGCATATCGGAATGGATGTTTGAATTTTGTGAGTTTTGTCGAGTTACGAGGTTTGGATAATTTTGGTGTGGTTGGACTCATATCGGAATGGATGTTTGAATTTTGTGAGTTTTGTCGAGTTACGAGGTGCAAGCCCGGGGTTGACTTTTGAATTGAATTTTTAATTTTCCTCAAAGATCGGAGTTTTATTATCTGAAATTATTTCCTATGGTTTTTATTTATAATATTAAGTTATTTTGACAAGATTTTAGCCGTCCGGAGATTGTTTCACACGAGAAGGTCATTTTAGAGTATTGGTTTAGCTTCTTTGAGGTAAGTATCTTGTCTAACTTTGTGTGGGGGAACTACCCCTTAGGATTTGAGAAAACCGTGCACGCGAGGTGACGAGTGCGTACTCAGGTTTATATATGGAAATCGACCGGTTTAGACTCTTAGGCTTCTTTCATGTATTTATTTAGAATTCTTAGCACATGTTATTTCTTTTATTTGTCATGTTTACTTTCACATGCTTTATTTGAAGTTGTTGTTACATGTCACATCCTTTACTTGTAAAGTTTACTCTTATATGCTTTATTTGAAGTTGTGGCCTCTTTTATCATTATGTGACTTCCTTTATTGTCGGGTTACTCTTAATTGAAATTGTTGTTACATGATATTCTTTTGTTGCAGGGTTATTCTCATGCATTTAGATGTAGTTGCTAGTTCGTGCCATCTCTTTCATTGTTAGCCTATGAATATGAAGTTTGCCATTTTATGGAAATACTTTCATTATCGAGTTTATCCTTAAGCAATTAATTAAAGTTGAAGTTATTGAAAGTCATTAATCTATTTTAATTGAAGTTGTGTTTAAAGGGGGTGTTGTTCATTGTTGAGTTACTTTCCCGTTTATTTTGTTATTGAGATTCTATACCCATTGTGTTTGAGCCGTGGGCTATTTGTTGTGGAAATATTGATATTGTTGGTTCTTTTGGAAAGGTTGTTGCCTATGGGCACTTGTGGTACGAGTTGATATGTTGTCTTGTTGTGATGTTAGCACATGTGAATTGTTGTGTGGATTGGTTGTTGTTATGCGGAGCATAAGGGTGGCATTTCACTGTTGTTGTTATGCCTGGCATCTCACTATTGTTGATTATGCAGAGTGATACGAGTGGCTATTGTGTTATTGTCCGGACGGAGCGATAAGGGTGGCTATTATGCGGAGTGATACGGGTGGCTATTAGAGCGATACGGGTGACTAATGATATTGTCAAGGTAGAGTGATATGGGTGGCTATCTAGGGGCATTATGTTGACAATATTCGTGTGATAGTGTGATTCTACTTCTGTATGTGTTGCTTTCAATGAGCTACTTGATGTCTTTGATATTACTTGTTGACTTGGGTTGTAATAGTACACTCGCACAAGCATACACCATAGCTTGCCACTTATACTAGTTCAAGGGTATGAAACGTAACATTTATTGATCATGCCCATGCATTCTTGTATTATCTGCTCTCATGTTGATATTGAGCCTGTGACCATGCCAGGCGGATTGTGATGAACCTGTGACCATGTTGGGCGGATTGTAATTCTGAGCCTGTGATCATGCTGGGCGGATTGAGATGTTGGCACGTGAGTTGTCAGTGTGGTTATGATTAGAAATGTGGGCACAAGGTGCCGTGAGAATATGATTTGTGGGTTGAGACTCGTGACTTGTGATTATCGGAGTAATTTTGTTGCGAAACTTGTGTTAGAACGACTTATTTAATTGGTTGTTATTTATTTTCCTTATTTGGTTTCAATGGTACTTTCACGATATTCTTATTACTTTACTATTTATATCATCACATGTTGATTCTTGTTGCCATTTACATCATCCTGCTTTCATTATTACCTTATTACTTCTATACTACACATGTTATTTTGACTATTAGGTGTCTTGACTTGTACCTCGTCACTACTCCATTGAGGTTAGTCTTGATACTTATTGGGTACCGACTGTAGTGTACTCATACTATATTTCTGCAATATTTTTGTGCAGATCCAGGTATTGGAGATATCGGACTCAAGCAGAGTTAGCTTATTGATCGCGATGATTCAATGTAGAGCTGCTTGATCGTCGCAGTCTCCTTGGAGTCCTTTCCTTTCATTTTAATGTCAACTTGTTATTTGAACAATATTTTATTTCGATCTTTGAGATCTTTCCATGTATTCGGCTAAAGTTCGTGACTCTAACCTAGTCTTGGGAGGTTGTTATGATTATTGCCGCATAGGCTTATTTCGCTTTTGTTTCGGTATTCATATTAAACTTTGTTTTAAATTATCATTGTTAAACTGGCTTAATTGTTGTAAGTAATCGACTTACCTAGGTGCCATCACGACACCTATGGTGAGATTTTGGGTCGTGACATCAAAGCACTCCCATCACTGTTAGCTTTTACAAAACCAGCCGCATGTCTAGTCCATTTAACCTGATGGACAATAGTATGATGTTTGATATTCTCAATGATAGAGTATAGATTCACCCATCTATAAGGCTAGTTAATAGTAGAAAAATTGGTGTGGAGAAGCAATTGGACAATAGAGTTGATGGAGAAGATTACTCTAGCTATAGAGGAGGCCTTTGAACCATACTTAGCACTACATCTGTTTTTCCACAGGTTCCAACATATGATAAAGGGGAGAGAGAGGCTAGAATCAACTTCAACACTTCATTGTTTTTCTTCTGAAGCCACCAGTGCATCAAGATCAATCTGAGTGGCATGTTATCAGTTTTAATTCCAGTTGGACCTCCATGTTTCTTACACACTGTCTTAGCAAGGTAGCCTTGTCTGAAGATGTGCTCTATTATTTCATCTGTAGGTATGGTACAACATACACATCTTGATACAGTAATAATTCCAAAGGAACTAATCCTGTCATCAGTGGGTAACTTATTTCTGAGAGCTCTCCAAAGACAAAAGAACCATTTAAATGGGATCTTTTTGTGCCAGGTCATTTTATTGGTAAAATTGGGCTGCATTTTTTTTTAACATTTCCCAAGTAGATGCACATGAAAATTTTCCAGACAATGTGGGAGTCCAGATAGTTTAATCTTGGGATTGCAGTTTGTAGTAGATGTGAATTTGCATTATATCTTGAATCTTATGTGTTGGAGCTACTCTGTTCAATTCCAGTAGGTGCCAATGACCATTTTCCCAAAATTGAGCCACATGGATATTTCCAGGTCTGCCTCTTTCAATTCTGTATGACACCTTACACGTATCCGTAATGAGCATGAGTTGTTCTTGCCTGACACGTATCCATTCCGCATCATCTAGTTTGGCTTCCTGGATGACTCTCAAATGATGGTTTCTCGACCTATGCGAGTACCACAACTTTTGTGCCATATACTAACATATATGGCGTTGCCGAAGCAGATGTTCTTATAGTGATACGGTAACCAAGTAAGGCAAAGGACAGCTTCTCGTGCCATTGCATGTGATTGTCAACTATCTTCCGTAAGATCCTCTTGATGTTTTTGTTGGCTGCTTCAACTGTACTCGAATTATAAGAATAAATGGTCGGGTTGACAACAATATTCTAAAAGCAAGTTTCCTACTTTCTACAAATATGTTTATCACAACTCTTTCAAAAAAGGACTCATCCATAGTTTAAATGCATAGATAGTTGATACATTTTCCTTAAGATCTAGTTATACTGTTAAAGGCTCCTCTAGATTAGTTAAATACTTCATACTCACTGGGGCATATAACTTTATCACCAATGAAAAATGCTTTCATTTAAG